CTTGGGTTTCTGAGGCAGTATCACTACGGAAGTAGGATTGCCCAACCTTCCTTCTGAGGAGTGGCTGGTGGGTTTGAACTGCCAGCCTTCTGAGAGCAGTCAAGTGCCTTAGGCACTATGCTACCAGAGCTCCATTGCACCCCATAGTGGTATATATTTTACATGCTTGTGGTGAGAATTAAATAAAATAATGCATGTAACACACTTAGCACAGTATCTGGCAAGTAGTAAATATTTTTTAAAAAATGAACTATTAATATCTTTACTTAGCAAACCACATAGTGGTGGAATCTAAGGTTTGCGAAGGCCAAGGTGGCCCTGTCAGTGCATCTCTATAAATGGTGTGCCAGTGAGTACCAGTCAAAGTTGATTTTTGGATGCATGTAAGATATCCCCTAGGGATTCCTAGAATTATAGGTGATACTTTGGAAAGAACTGGACGTCCTACATGAGGTGAGGGCCTGTTGTCAGTAAGAGTCAGAGATTAATGTTAACATGACCTCATTTGTTCCTGGAGCTTGTGAAGCTGAGAGGCGTTTGGGAACATTAGGATTTCAAAAGGAACCAAAACGCTGAAAATTGCTGGTATATTTTTCACTTATGTCAGATTCAAGTTTCCAGACACTGTGGGAAAGATTTTCTGAATAGTAATAGCTAGGAAAGCGTTAACCTAGATATTCACTCCAAGAAATATTAAGTAGAAATCCAAATGCAAGGACTACAGCAACGTTCAACAAGATAATGGATATTAGAAATATAATGTTAAGTGAAAAGTAAGTTCTAAAACATTACATACAGCAATACAATCTTTTAATGTATAAAGTGGAAACAATTAGTATGAAAATATATTTCTAAGGAAAATATACAGATACATTAATATGATATAAAGAGGAGAGCAAAGGAATAATGAATTTAGGGTTTGGGATGATGTTTCCATCAGATTGAGTGAGGCAGGGGAATTGGATGGTGTCTTAGTTTCTTAATATATCTATAACAGGTATATCACAAGTGAGTGGCCTTGATGAGAAGAAATTTATATTCTCACATCTTAAGGGACTAGAAGTCCAAATTTAGGGAACTGGCTCAAGGAGAAGTCTCTGTCTGCTCTGGAGGAAAATTATTTTCTCTTTCAGCTTTTCTTCCTTAATTCCTTGGTAATCCCCAGGTGGCATCAATCATTCCACTTTTGTACTTCCTTGATTCTTTGTCTAATCTGCTATTTTTATATTTCAAAATTGATTGACTTAATATATACCCTATATCAATATGACCCATAAATATAAAAAGAATACCCTGTTCCCCAATGGGATGACATCCACACATATAGGGATTAGGATTCCAAGGCATATTTTGAGAAAGGACATAATTCAATCCATAACAGATGGAAAAAGCCAAATGGTTAGATGTCATAGGTTATTGTTTTGGGGTTAATGAGTCATTCTATCATAATTAAAACCAGCTAACTGGGAGTGGGTCATGCATGACAAAGTGAGACTGTCATGAAACAAAGATTATGATTAATGCAATTCTGTACATTTAGGTCCCTGGAGTAAGGATAGAGAAGGGTCACATATTTAAATAGATTGTTTAATGAAATGTTGAGGTCATTTTTCATCACAACTTGACTTGTATGGGAATTTCATCCTATATGCACCAAAATACACCTCAGATAGTGTCACCTGTAAACTTTTTTCTCTAACTCACTTTGGTAGTTTCCAATTTGGTAACAAACACAGTGTATATTTATCAAAGTGTTTACATTACCACCATTGGCCACAAGAAAAGGAAACAAAATGTTTAGAGAAAATTGTTTATGCAGAGAGCACATCAAGAGTTTCCAACTACAGTTAGATCAAAGGCCATGGCTACACCCTTGTCATCCTTGCTGAGCCAATTTTCTGTCCTCTGTTTCACAGCCCAGGAAGCGGAAGGTCCACCTGCCCTGCCATGTGTCTTCACTATTGAAAGAGAGAAGCGCTTGCCTGCTCTATCCTATAGAACATGTAGATTCAGGCACAGAGTAGGTGTACAAACCTTTCATATAGCCTTGTGCCTCCTGCAGCCCAGCCTCCTGGGAGGCAGATCTGGTAGAGAAAGAGGTGTATAGTTGGAAAGAACAGGGAGAATGGCACAAGGTGCTTCCCCAGGGTCTCTGCCATGCTCACTGAGTAAGGGACTAGTGATCCAAGTCCTATCGTGTTCATGGGACATTCTCATAGTTTTCTTTGTAGTCCATGTCTCTACTGTTGGACTGCTCTGGGGAGTCATTTGGGTGTGCCTTCTTCAACTCTGAATAGATGACTGAGTGTTCCTGGGTAAAAAAAAACAAGCAGTAAGTACCAAAATACAGAAGAGAACCAGCAGAGCACAGAGAAAGCCAGGAAACCCAGCCTACCTTATCCTCCTGACACATCCTTGATGAATTTGCTATTGGAAGGGAGGAAGAAAGAAAAGTATTAAACTATGGACAATATATTTCAACTTATAATCTACTCCCCATGTATTCCAAGCCAACATTTTCTCTGTTAACTCATCACTTGATTTTTTCCTCTGTGGTGCTCTCCCAAGCCCTCACAGATAAAGCCCCTTGAATACACACATACACACACTAACAAAGCCTTTCTTCTGCTCACTAAATGCCTGGAGCAACTTTGCTGACAATTTCCTTCTTGCTCCTCTGTTCATTACAACTCCAGCAGAGGTGCCCCCTCCATCTCAGGCCTGTATTGATACTATGACTCAATATATATGTATTGATCATCTGGAAGAAGTGGGGAAAACATGACACACTTCACGTTACACAAAGAAATTAGAGGAGGCCAGAGAGAGGGTTGGCACTCTAAGGCCACACAGCAGATTCTCAGGGAGCCAAAGCCAAAGGAGCCAATAAGAAAATTCAGTGTGTATCTCTTGTCCCCCCAAAGGGTGCTTGTATATCATTTATTTATTCAGCCAATTAACATTCATTGAACAATGACCATCTATGAAGCATTAGATAATTTGGAAGAGAAGAGATGAGCACAGAAACAATATAACAAGTATTATGGACACCAAGATAGAAATACAAACTGAACTATGCTGATGCCACAAAGGCTCTACAGTTCCTCCCAGGGTGAGTATAGGAATGGGTGACGGAGTCACTATAAGTTTCATAGTTGTACTTGAGTTGTCTTGAAGTGTGAGCAGGGCTCACCTGGTAAACCAGGAACAAGAGTATTCCAGGATGACTGAGAAGCATGAGAACAAGAGCATAAAACAGCATAGTGTGGTGAGGAAAATGTTAAGTGCAGTATGGCTAGAATGAGGACATAAGGCAGAGCTTGGGAGGTCTGAGTACAGAAGAAAGAAGGGGTCATACTTTGAAATGGATAGTCAGTGAGTGTTCAATCTAGGAAATGATGTGATTAGTTGTGCCTCTCTGAGGGATCATGCTGGAAAGTTGGACCAGAACAAGACCAAAATAAAATGACTAGCTTAGAGAATTACAATTGTCTATTTATTAAACTAGGGAACTCTGGTGGTATAGTGGTTAAGACATTTGGCTGCTAACCAAAATGTTCAAACCTACCAGCTAGTCCATGGAAGAAAGATGGGGGAGTCTGCTTCCATAAAGATTTATAGCCTTGGAAACACAATGAGTGTTACTATGAGTCAGAACTGACTGAATGGCAGTGAGTTTAGAGTATTTATAAGATTATGAAAGGCTTAACTTAGTAAATAGTGTGTTAACTTATAAACAATGAATTATTCACTCAAAAAATATTTCAGGGGGATGGGGTCTACAGTTTTCCAAGCATTGCACTAGATGCTATGGATGCATTAGTGAAAAATCATACAATCTGTCTTCAAGGAATTTATGAGGTAGTGGTGGTGGTGTGGATCAGTAAGTGGGAATGGATATGATTATGTTATTCACAATATTTGAGATTCTTTAATCAAATAACCCTTGCTGGACTTCATACCACACTTCCACCTTACCTCTACTTGTCTGGGAAGTTTCTCACCTGATTTTCCTTTTGCAACCTGGATGCTCAAGACCTGGGAATATACCAGATTGGAATCTGCAGTATTTACTGTGGGAGAAGAATCAAGGTGTTATAGTTGGCTGTAGTCAACAGCTCACTCTCTAGATTCTTCTTCCTAGCCACCAAATTCATAACCACCTTCTATTCTCCCAAGAAAATGCCAGGAATATCATTTTTAAACTGGATGTGACTGGAGCATGGGCCATTGCTCAACTCCTCTTCCCTCCCTGGCTCATGACTGAAGCCCTCTGCCACTTAGAGAATCCTTACCGTTGCTGTACTCTGGGTGCAGCTCCACTAGGCCTAGTGGCTGGGAATAGGAGGGCTCTTTGAGGTCTGTGCTAGAAAGCCTTGACAAGGAAGGCTCTGGAGAAGACTCAATGAATCTATAGTTATGACAGAAAGGAGAGAGTTAAGGGAGAAAATTATTTGTGAATGGCACAATCTAGGGAAATTAGTAACCAGAAAGGCACAAACCTAACACGTTCATGTGAAAAATGGTGGCTCTTACACTGTGAGACTGCATGGCTCTTTCAAGAAAATGCCAAACGGGATGTGGCAGGCACAGCATGGAACTGAAAGAGCATTACAAGGCAGGCAGACTGAGGCACACTCAGAAGGCAAAATCCACGTAGTCCCAAGGTCACTTTTATGGGGTAAAAATTCATTTTTGGCTAATTTTTAAATTATTTTTTGAAATGGAAATGCTTTAACATTATAAACAAAGACTTTTCCTTTCCTGTAGAATTTTATTTTTGTCTTTTTCACAAGGTCCCCTTCAACTTTCTACTTCAGATTACAATAATCCACCTTCCCTGAGAGATACCATGAAAACTCTTAAGGAAAACTGTTTTTTTTTTTTTTCTCTCTTTTCCATTCCCTTCTGCAATTAGTATTGTGACTCAAACATTATAAGTATTCAGATATTGTTTACTAAATGAGTTAGTAAGTAGAGGAAAGAGCAATGAGGGAATGAATAAGTGTATCGCTATGCAGGATGATGTTATTAAAACATCAGTGCTCCAATTCACCATAGCAAAGAGATGGAAACAACCTAAATGCCCATCAATGGATGAGTGGATAACCAGATTATGGTATATGCACACAATGGAATATTATGCCACATTAAAGAACAATGAGGGATACACAAATCATCTCACAACATCTATGAATCTGGAGGACATTATGTTGAGTGAAATAAGTCAATCACAGACAGACAAGTACTATATGAGCCCATTACTATAAAAAGACAGAAAAGGGTTTGCTTGGGAAAGGGAACTCACTTAGTAGGTTACTGGGATGGGGAGGGAAGGGGAAGGATTAATTTCGGGCTTGTTGGGTTCTACACGCTGACATGGATAGGGGGAGGGATACATGGGAAGGATCTATGACCAACATGATAACATTAAGAAATGGGAGGACACCGAGTTGTGCACATAAGAGATAGACGACAGATGCTAATACCAACTGATGTGTCCACAATACTGCATTGCAATTAACACCAAACACCAGGCATTTAGAAGCAATCAGCCCTAGGACATGATGGCCCTCGAGACCAGAAGAACTAGATGGTGCCCAGCTACCAAGACCAACCACTCAGGAAAGGATCAAATCTGGAGATCCTGGATAGAGTGGGAGGGAAAACGTGGAACAAAATCCAAAAACTCAATAATGACCAGAATTACTGGTCAGATGAAATCTGGCGAGGCTCCCAATACTATGGTCCTGGAATACATTCTGTGCCTGGAATAAACCTCACTCCCAGGGGCTGGCTCTCAGTCCAATAGTTAAGAAGGTGTACATGCAGACCACTCAACCCAGGATGACGCACCCACATATTCTATGGTAATATATCCCTTAGAGCGATAGACCATGGGAAACCAGAGGACCAACATTCAAGTTGAGGAAATGCAAAATAAACAGGAGTGCATAAATATAAGGGGCACAGGAGGAGCGTTAGAGGGTACGGAGGGGGGGAGACTGGGTTAGGGCTGGACATGGTGAATGGGGAATGAATCTAAATGTACACGTAACATGGCATGTAAAACGAGTTTTTTAAATAAAAATAAATAAATAAATAAAATCAGTGCTTGACTATCCATCTGAAGCATATTTAAAGAAGTAGCTTTTTTAGCATTGATAGCAAATAACATGAATTCTGTATATAAGTCAATATATGTGAGTATTATTCATAAATATGAATGAGAATGGTCTTCCTAACTACATTTTTGGATTTTATAAAAATGTGAAAATGTTAATAAGAAATGTTCTAAAAATGCATGTAATTACATGTTCCTTTACTATGGATATAAATAAATCATGAAAATATTGCAAGCACAAAAGGCAGAGACCTCACCTTGGTGTTCCAGTGGCAGCAATTCCTCCTGCAAAGCAAACAAAGAAATATTTGTGTTAAATGACCTCTGTTTCTGTCTCATCTCTCTCTCCTCACCCCACTCCTTCTCTCTCAGTTCACACATGGACAATGGGCTGTATATTAGAGTGTTCTAGAGAATGTTCTTCCTTGAAAGCAAATCTGTTCTTTATCTCAGCTCCATCTTGAAAGACATTTGTCCAGGATCAGACTTACTCTGATCGTCGCTCAATCAGTAATAGCAGTGTGAACACTTAAGTAATTGTGACTGAGTAGTAGAAATGAGACAAACTCTAATTATGGTTGCACAGCATCATGAGCATAATTGTACATTGAATTGTACACATAAAAAATGTTGGAATGGAAAATGTTTTGTTACATGTTCTTTTATTACACACACACATGCGTACACTCTAATTCCAGTTCAACTGCTATCTTCACACACATTCTTTTGTTCTGACTGTAGGTCTAGATGCTATCCCAGTGGTTTAGACAAGCCAAGAGAGACTTAAAACCAATACAGAATTCTTACACAAGTATGGATCAAAGACAATGCCATAATAAGCTCAGACCTATCCCCTCTTCCTCTACTGTGAACCCTGCAAATCTGTTTCTGAAACAGTGAACTGTGTATTATGTGGTTCTGTATTGTACTGTTTCTCTACTTCTCTTCTTTTACTTGGCTAATTTCCACTTACTATTCCTCCTCCAGAAATTTCCCTGATACCAACAGGTTGTACCCTGTAATATTAAAATTACTATGTTGTATTCTAATTATCTATTTCTGTGTTCTGCCTCTAACTCTCTCCTTCATGAGAAGGAATGCTACTTAAGGATGCAAACCTTGATTATTTTTGTAACCCCAGTGACTAACATGTTGAAAATATTCAATAAATATTTGTTAAACAGCAGAATAAATCAAAATATGTACTTTGATGACTAAAAAAAAAAAAAAAAAGACAAGTTGACAATTTTTAGTAGGTGATTACATGTAACCCTAATCTGGAAGGCTACTCCATCAGGTTTGGAAATATAACAGTTTTCTATCATTCCCAAAATATAAAAATCTTCCTGGCCCACCCAGTAAACACCTCCTCCTAACTTCTCAACAAGGACTTCTAATATTTTATATGTGGCTCCAAATCTGTCTCACAAGGTTTAGAGAACACAAGTTACTGCCCAAAGTAAACATATTCAGGCTTGCCACCCATAAGAAATGACTGAATGATGCCTGCAAATGCTGTCCTCAGGTATCAAGCTTCCTGAGGTAAACTTGAGGTATATGGATATAATCTAGGCCTGTACCTTTCTCCTCAGAACTTACTGAGAGCCACATCAATAAACAAGCAATGTTCTTGTTTGTGAATGGGTCAGCTCAGCCTTAGTATGCATCTGGAGTTGGTCTATCTCTTCATGTGTAAAAGACAAAACTAAGACCCAGAGATGTGGCTATTTATAATAATAGCAATATTAATAATGGTGGCACAACATGAAAAATGTCATCAATGTCCCTGAGCTATAAATGTGGAAGTTGTTATGTTGGTGAATGTCTTGTATATGTTTTCACCACAACAAAAGTAAGTAATATAATAATAGCAAGAGTCACTAAAAAGTTACAGGCCAGGCATGTGATCAGATTGTCTCATAGTATCTAAAAGGAAGATACTATCATGGTTAACAAAATATATACAAAGAAACTGAGTCATGGAGAATTTAATTTACTTGCCTAATGTCAAGTATTTGGCAAGTTATGTTACCAAAATTTTAAGCTGAGCGGTTCAACTATAGTCAATAAATTTAGCACTCATTTTGGTAACTTGTAGAACACATTCAGGCTAAGAACCAGAGTTTTTTACTTTTAGAAATATTGCAATAGTTGTGCTCCTCCCAGAGAAGATTCATCAGTAATGAGAAGAGGGACTTTGCTATAAGGGGAGTGGAGATTGGGCAAGATTTTGAGAAGAGAAGAATAGAGATTCTCTCCTTGGCTGGCTATCAGGATTCCTTAGTTGAGCTTGTTTATCTGAGAAAAAATTCTTCCCCTAGAAGGACATACTTGAAGGACCAAACCACCTGGGTTCCAACTCACATAAATCACATAAAATGATGTTTGGTAATCTTTCCTTCCCTGGTGTTGCTTGGTGTTATTTTGACTAATCAGTCTGTTTTATAAAACACTATCAACTTCAACACTAAGGTTATAATGTCTCCACTTGTTGTATGAGCTATGGATTAATAAATGACATTCAGATGGACCATGATATATAAATAAACATAATTTTTAAAGTACAATATGTGATCAATCTTCTACAAATAACCAAGGTGTAATGGAGAGTATGTACTCAAGGGTTAGAGAGATACCAGTTAAGATCCAACTCTGATTCTTCATAGCTATATAAATTTGGAGAAGTTATTAACTTTCCCAGACCTCTCTTTCTTTGTCTCCAGTATGGTAATAATAATATTGGTTGAATTTAACTGAGTTAAACTCAATGAATAATTAGGAGAATTAGACAAACTATAAATTTTATATCATAGACTCTAAATGAATGACAGATTTTATCATGAGTATTATTGGGATTAGGAGCATTGGTGGTATGGTGGTTAAAGTGCTCAGCTGATAAGTGACAGGTCAGTGGTTCAAAACCACCAGTGGCTCCACAAGAGAAAGATGTTGTAGTCTGCTTCTGTAAAGGTCACAGCCTTGGAGACCCTTTAGGTTCTTCTCTGTTACAAAGGGTCCCTGTGAGTTGGCAGTGGGGTTTTTTGGGGGATTTTATTTGGGTTAGTGTTCTCATTGTCTTTATATATTTGAAAAAAATCACACAAAGAGTCACAATTTTATATGTAATGTTATTTAAGAAAACATCAAGTACTATAAAACCAAAGTCACTGCCATTGAGTCAATTCTGACTCATAGCCACCTCCAATCAGGTGATGGGTTGGAACTGCTGACCTTTTGGTTAACAGCCAAATGCCTTAAGCACTACACCACGAGAGTGCCTTAAATACTATTGTTGTTAAGTGCTGTTGAGTTGAACTGGGCTCATAGTGACCCCTCCTTGGGTTTCTGAGGCAGTATCACTATGGAAGCAGATTGCCCAACGTCCTTCCAACGAGTGGCTGGTGGGTTTGAACCACTTCTGGTTAGCAGTCAAGTGCCTTAGGCACAACACTATCAGAGGTCCCTTAAATACTATAGTAGCTTTGAAAGAACAGTCATAAAATGACGGTGCCACTTTTCTTGCAGGAAAGGGAAATATGGAGCCTTGAAAATAAGGATAAGAAGATTTTGACCGGCATAACTGAAGCAAATTTGTAAAGTTTTTCAACAAATTGAAGTTCAAATATTTATTTATTTGTTAGCTTGATTTTCATTATAAGCCATGAGAAAAAAATCAAACTCCAAACTCATTGTCATTGAGTTGATTCTGACTCATAGTGACCCCCTTTGGGTTTCCAAGGCAGTAAATCTTTATGGAAGTAGATTGCTCAGTCTTCCTTGTGTGGAGTGGCTGGGAGGTTTGAACAGCCAGCCTTCTGGGTAGCAGTCAAATGCTTTAAGGACTAGGCCACCACAGCTCCTTGAGCCATGAAAAAGGGAGGACAAAATCATTTGGTCTGACAGAAAGAGAGATGCCATGTTATACAAGAGAAAGAAGATTGAAAGTAAATCAAAATACAAAGTTTTGACATCTTGCAATCACACAAAATACTGAATAAAAAGTCCATACATTCAAAGTTCCCAGATCTATGAAAAAAATTTTCATAAAGACAAAAAAAAAAAAAAAAAAACTCACTGCCATCAAATCAATTCCAATTCATACTGACCCTATTAAGTTTCCAAGGCTGTGTCATCTTTCTTCCACAGAGTGGTGATTGGGTTTGAACAACATACTTTTTGATTAGCAGCCAAATGCCTTCACCACTACACCACCAGAGATCATTATAGAGAACAAATGCAGTTACAAAGGCACAAATATAGAGATAAAAGATTTCTTTTTGGGAACAATGCACACGAGAAGACAGTAGAGCATCTTTAAAGTACTCGAAGAAAACAAAACAAAAATTGTCCAAGAATTTATACCAGTAAAAGTTTTTTCACCAAAGAATGCAAAATAAAGACTTTTACAGACACACAAAAGCTGAAAGAATTCAGCAGCAGCAGACTTGTACTACAAGAAAAGTTAAAATGAATTATATGTGTAGAAAGAAAATGATACTATATAGAAATATGGGTATACAAAAAAAGGAATAAAGAACACTGGAAATCGTAACTACATGGGTAAATAGATAAGAATTATTTATATTTAAGCCACTTTAAAAGATAACTGATTTTTTACAAAATAATTACTAACAGTGTAGCTGGAAGAGAAGAAATGGAAGTACACTATGGTGATATTCTTCTAATTTAGGTGAAGTGGTAAAATATCACTGGCAAGTAAACTGTGGTAAGTTAAAGACATATACTATATAAATCCCAAAGCAACCATCAAAGTAATAAAATAAAGAATTATAGTTAATAATCTAAAAAAGGAAATAAAATGTGATCACAATAAATACTCAAATGGGAGACAGAGACAAGATGGCATCCTTACCAGGATACTCTGCCTAATCCCTCTACAATAAAGACCTGGGAAAACTGAGTGAAACAGATATAAATAATGATCCTAGAACTCTGAGCATCATATGAAAGGATGAATTAGAATGAGTACTGATTGGAAAGGGAGATGAAGCAAGGACAGTGACTGCAGAGAGAAAAGAAGCTGGGTCCCAATGAAGTATGGCCATTTTGAAGCACAGAAGGCATCATACACAGGTGAGGAGAAACCAAGTTCTTGGAATATACACTGCAGTAGGGACACAGCCCAGTCAGATTTGGAGGGAATCAATTGGAACAGAATACATACTGGATCTGAGAGGAAAGTGCAAGGAAACAGGCCAGATTTTTAGTGGCACAGTAGGGAGCCAGAGAAGGAAAATGAAACAACTCATCAATAGTGGACACTG